TTGTTGACGATCTCGAAGTTTGCGGCGTGGGATGTGGCGGCCAGAGATAGGGCGAGGGTGAGGAGGGAGAAGAGTACTGTTGTTTGAGCCATTTTGTATTCTTGTAACTTGTGTGATTTGGAAGGTTGCTAATTGGTGCTTATATAGAGTTTTATGGTGTAGATGCAATGAGAGAGGGCAGCTACAGATTTTTTAGTAGTTATCTGTGGAAAAGTAGTGCTTTTGCTTTAATCATTCTTTCCAGGCGGCTACACGTCTTGATCAAGATCATGTTTATACAGATTCAGTGTTAGGATTTGTATAATATTATTTAATTTCATGTGTGATTTTTTTTTTTTAAATTTTAAGTGGTGGAAGATCTTAATGTACGTAAGACTGTCGTTAAACATTGTACTACAAGAGGGGAGACATTAGTGGAAAAGCTGTTTTCGTGTAAGAGTAAAACTAACTAGTTGAACGAATTAAACATTTTTTTTTTTCACGTAAAATTTAGAAAAATAAAAATATTTCAAATAATAAGAGATATGTGTATAATTAATTCAAATAGATAAATAAGAAACTTAACTTAGAAGGAAAAGGTAAATTTGAAAAAGAAATGGAAATAATTAATTTCAAAATAAAAATACTTGTTTGATATAAATAAATAAATAATGTTGGGTCAACTAGCACAGTTGCATATTCCATTATTGCAATAAAATAGAGGCGGCTGGATCTAACTAAGGCTTGACGGTATGCAACAGTGTCAGAATACTTATGGATCTCACTTGTTTTTAATCACTAAAAACAAATTTTTTCTTTTAATTTTATTTCTTGAAAAATAGAATGGTTCGCTGCCATTAGAGGGTCTGAGAAGACTTTGAAGTCTAAATGAATGGTTCTTGATCTGTCGTACATTATGACAAAATGTGTAAGATGTAAGGACATCTTTGATGAGTTGTTTCATATATTGAAAAAAAAAAAAAAGTTTTTAATTTGTCATGTGAGCATTAAATAACTCAAATACAAATTTACTCTAATAATAAAAAATTTTAAGAAATTTAATTTTTAGAATTTTTTTCTAATCACTTGTGAATCAAAATTAAATTTTTATTAAAAAAGATAATTGTATTACAATGAAAGAAAATAAATTATGAAAAAAAATATACAATAAGTAGATATTAAAAATAAAATAAAATAATAGTAAATACATAAATATTATACGAAATTAATTTTCATCATTATTATTTTCGAAACGTTCTCAAATATGTTCAATAAAATTTACTTGAAATCTGATAAGAAATGGTTGCTTGAAAAAATAACCCTATCTCTTCTTTAAATAACTCATATTGCCACGTCAAAGTTATTCAATAACAAAAAATTGAGACTTGAGTTATTTGATGAAACAAGCAACTTCTTCTGTTGAAGTTTCTCGTGTCCATACTGCCCTTTGTCATTTGTAAAGTCCATCACGTTCACGGAGGATCTTGTTTCGTGTTCGGCTGAGAGGTTATCTATTATCTAACCTTGGAGAGACGTTTTAGGTGGAAAAGGAAAATTTGGAAATCACACACGTGTTATACGCAATCTAACTTTTATTCGTCTACATGAGTTTATGTTATATTCAATTACTGTAATAGATAAAAATTATATATTTTAAGGTTTAAATATATTTAAACTATTTTGAATTAGGTTGATTTTTAAATTATTATTTTTTAATTTTTTTTTGTTTAAATTACTTGATTAATATTTTTTTTTAAATTAGTACTTGACGTTAGTTGTGGCAAACAGACTGTCACGTTATCGTCCAACGTTGTATGTCATGTTAGCACACAATGTCCATCTCATTTTTCACGTTTGAGACTTAATAAGAAACTGAAAGAGGGGTCTGAGAACAAATTGAAAAAACCTTAAAAGAAGAAGAAGAACTCTCTCGTGGGTGAAGAAAAAGAACTCTCTCGTGGGTTAAGAAACTGAAAGAGGGGTCTGAGTACGTTTGACTCGACCAAATTGAGGAACTTCTATATCAAATTCATCATCTAATCCAGCAGCCCTCTCCTCCTCTGAATCATCCAACCGAACATTCCTCACAGAGTCATCATCACTGTTACATAAATTGTCCCCAACAACACCTTCATTGCCACCATCACAAACTGCAAACATTTTCACTTCCACATTGTTAGTAATTGCAAAGTTTGTCATGTCTAATGCAACACTATCACAATTAATCTCTTTGAAATCAGAAGGACCAAATTTCCATCATAGCCTAACAAAATGTTCTCCATATGTCAAGTCTTCTTTTACAATTCCCACGGCTTCAAAATAGGACCACCTATCCATATCCATATTCTTCACATGCACTGGCTCACTGCCTCCAACATAATGCATCACGGGGTCTAACTCAAAACGACCCCCGTGATAAAGTTTCGAATTGAAACCCATTAACACAACTGCAAAGAAACCAAATCTTTGAGTCAAAAAACCTTAGCAACAGAACAGTTAAAGGCTATCAAATTGTAAACCCTAATAACATAACCAACCACTTACCTTCAACATAGACGAAGAATGACAAGGGGCTTCGTCCAGAACAACTTTGGCAGTGCTTCAACAATGACAACAACTACCTCTATTTATAGCTACAAAATCTCACCTCCACAAATGGTCATTGAAGAACGGTGCTCCAAACTTCTAACCCAAAATCAAAACGGAGCAGTTTCACGAAAAAAGGGGAATGAAAACGAAAATCAAAACAAATTACAACTTCAATATTTTCAAAATAAAAAAGGAACAATTTTCAAACATGAGGTTGGAGATGAATGAGAGAATGGGTTTCTGAGTTCGTAAATTTCCAACATATACGCGAAACTAATTTTTTAAAAAATTTACAAATCTGACGTGGCAATTTACGTGGAAAATGAGGTGGTCATTGTGTGCTAACATGATTGGACGATGACGTGGCAGTCTGTTTGCCACGTCATCATTTAATTGAGAAAACTAATGTCAAGTACTAATTTGAAAAAGAAATATTAGTCAGATAATTTAAACAATTTTTTTTTAAAAAAATAGTAATCTGAAAATCGACCTAATTCGAGATAATTTAAAAATATTTAAGTCATATTTTAATTAATAATTGAATGAAATATTTAGAAATTTTCTTTTAATCCGTAGACCGCAACAGGATTATAACCCATCGTCAATGGTTATAAAATATTTATACAAATATTGATCTATATATGATATATATGATTCTGGGTCTACGTACTACACCACTAGGAGTCGATGGTGGTCGTTTAGTCTCTCAATTCTCTTTTAGGTTTGAGGAGAATTTCAAAACGCAATTACTTGAGTTTTCAAAAGTAAAAAGGCGCGTGGAGCATTGTGAGAGCTGATTCAACAAAAGAAAACTTGATTTGAAGCACCCAAATAACTGCCGTTATTTTGAGAACATAAAACTTCGGAAATGAGTTATCTGCATTTACTTACTTTTATCGCATGAAATGGAAGCCACTAAATAACGGGAAATTCCTTTGAAATCCTTTTAAAGAGGGGTTCTGGTGCCCCTCGTTGGCGAGGTTCAGGTCTGAATCTCCGAGGACCCCTCATGTTATTCCTCCTCTGTCTATCGGTGTCCAGGTTGTCGCAAGAACGCAGCTGGATTTCTTGCTAACGGAACACTGCTTTTTGAGGACCATAGTGATGGAATAACACTAAGGCCGAAAAGACCAAGAGGTGATATATTAAAGGAGGCAAGAGGAATGTGTTAGTGAGGCCACTTTTGGACCTTAGCTCCTAAGTTCTTTTTAATCATAGAATTTATTTTACTTGTATTTCCAATTTTACCCTTGTATTTTAGGGTGTTTAGGACTTAGAATTTATTTTTCCTTGTATTTCCCTTTTTACCCTTGTATTATGGGGTGCTCTAGATGATTAGGGTTTTTAATTTTGGGCTAGGGTGTTAACTAGAAGGGTGACGCATTTTTTTGGTGTTCATTGGATCTATTTTTGGTGTTAGAAAGGCTTAGGCCCAAGTGGAGGGCAAATGTTGCATGGTCTTATCATGCACCTAGATATAGCCAATCTAAACCCAAAGATTCCATCCTTGGCCACCAAGTTGCATCTAGGGTTCATTTGCATTTCATTTGGAATGCATTTGCCTACTCTAAATGCAACCCTAGATGCCTCCCCTCCTATAAATACCCAACACCCCACACCTTGTAAATACTTTGGATATTGAATATAAAGAGAGCCTTTAGTGCCTTTATATCTTTCCTTAGTCACCCTTGGCTATTTTCGGCCAAACCCTACCATCTCCACCTTGAGAGAAACAACCCTAGAAGTGGCCTTCATCATCATGAAGTGAGCCAACCCTAGAGTACCATTCTCAAGCATTTCCTCAAACACCTTCTACCCAACCTTCATTTTCGTCCATTCCATCATCATCCACCCTAAAACCTTGGTCCACCTTTGAAGAATTTGATTCTTGGAGAAGGCGTCCTCCTCCTTGCTCATCATCTCAAGTTCATGCAAGTAAGGATGCCATCACATAGGATGAACAAGGAAAAATAATATATCAAAGAGATCCAAGCAGACACATAGTTCGGATTTTGTTTTAATCATTATCCATATCCGTAAATTCAAGTTCAACAAAAAAATTCGATCAATATTTTAAAACAAAAGATGTCCTGTATCATTAATTCACATGACAAATATCATGAGGGATACCAAAAATCCCTATTTGAAAGGGATTCTAAAGGAATTTCTTAAATAATGAACTCTACTATGTAGTTGAGTTTCTTCTTTTGTGTCTTGTTAAAGATTTAGTTTTCTTTTTATATATATAATTTTTATGATTCAGAAATATAAGAGCAAACACCACAGTCTGACAAAGGAAATTATAATTGTATTTGTCAAATATAAGACAAAAGCAATTAAGAACAAAAATTATAAATATTAAAACTCTCTTTAAACATAAAACTTTGCTTAATTAGCTAACAAGTCGGTGCACCTGTTTCTTTCTTTACAGGTGATCACATAAAGAAATAGTTTAAAAGGGATTTGTCTAATAAGTACTGAATTCGATTAACAATCGTAGCATAATTGTTTCGGCCAAAGGGTGGACTAGGGTTTTTTCCTAGATCGTGTCTTAGAGTCAGAG